CCTTTTTCTTTCTTGTGGGCAATCTAAATGCCTGTAACATGTAACCTCTACTAACTCCCAGAAGACAGGGTGGTCTTATTTTTGGACTGACCCTCCTGCTAGCAGCAAATCAAGGCTTTTTCTTTGTTACATAACTCTTGTTGACTTTAATTTGGGACAGTCTTATAAGATGAGAGTAAAAATTCTAAAAAATTCAAGGTAGAAAATAAAAACAAGAGCCCTAGCCAGTTTGGCTTAGTGGATAGAGCTTCGGCCTGTAGACTGAAGGGTTCTAGGTTCGATTCCGGCCAAGGGCACATGCCTGGGTTGCGGGCTCAATCCCCAGTAGGGGGCATGCAGGAGGCAACCAATCAATGATTCTCTCTCATCATTGACGTTTCTATCTCTCTCTCCCTCTCCCTTCCTCTCTGAAATCAATTTTTAAAAATTTTTTTAATTCTCTTAAAAAAAAAGAACCATAGCTGGTTTGGCTCAATGGATAGAGCGTCAGCCTGCGGAATGAAGGGTCCCGGGTTTGATTCCAATTAAGGGCTCATGCCTGGGTTGCGGGCTCGATCCCCAGTGTGGGGAGTGCAGGAGGCAGCCAATCAATGATTCTCTCTCATCATTGATGTTTCTGTCTCTCCCTCTCCCTTCCTCTCTCTGAAATCAATAAATAAATTTTAAAAAAGAAAAGAAAAACAGGAAAAGTATAACAATTTTGTGTAAATCAACTAACAGTGACATTTCATTTTGCTGTCTTCTGGGACACCTGCCACTAACACATACAAGTATTAATGCTGACCTCACATACTTGAGAAGGAATAAGTAGGTATTAGCTAGATTAAAGAACTGAATATACAAAAGTCTGGCGAGGAGAGTGAGCTAATGAGTTTCTGAAACTCAAATATTCCAATTCTATTGAGGGGAACAGTATTAAGAGGTAGGCAAATTAGGAAGAGCCTTGAGGATAATACCTGTGCTCAGTACTACGGATACTGCAATGAACAATATACACAAGATCTCTTTCCTCGTGCAGCATACATTCTTTTTTTTTTGCTTTTTATTGAATTTATTGGTGTTACATTTGTTAATAAAATTATATAGGTTTCAGGTGTACAATTCTATAATACATCATCTGTATATTGTAGAGTGTGTTTACCACCCCAAGTCATATATCTTTCTATCACCATTTATCCCCCCCCTCCCCCCCGCCAGTACCCTCTCCTACCTCCTTCTACTCCCATTTTCCTCTGGTAATGACCATACTGCTGTCTGTCTATGAGGTTTTTTTCCTGGGGTTTTTGGGTTTGTTTGTTTGTTTGTTTTGCTTAATCCCTTACCCTTTTTCTTTCTTTTTAAAAAAATTTTTTTTATTATTGATTTCAGAGAGAAGAGAGAGAGATAGAAACATTAATGATAAGGGAGAATCATTTTTTTTTAAAAATATATTTTATTGGTTTTTTTACAGAGAGGAAGGGAGAGAGATAGATAGTTAGAAACATCGATGAGAGAGAAACATCGATCAGCTGCCTCCTGCACATCTCCCACTGGGGATGTGCCCGCAACCCAGGTACATGCCCTTGACCGGAATTGAACCTGGGACCTTTCAGTCCGCAGGCTGACGCTCTATCCACTGAGCCAAACCGGTTTCGGCTAAGGGAGAATCATTGATGGGCTGCCTCCTGCGTGGCCCCTACTGGGAATCAAGCCCACAACCTGGGCATGTGCCCTTGACTGGAATCGAACCTGGGACCCTTCAGTCTGTAGGCCAACGCTCTATCCACCGAGCTAAACCAGCTAGGGCAATCCCTTCCCCCTTTTCACCCAGCACCCTTACCCCTTCCCCTCTGACAGCTATAAGTTTGTTTCTAAGATTATTTTGTTCATTATATTCCATATATAGGTGAAATCATGTGGTAACAGTCTTCTTCTGACTGACTTATTTCACTTAGCTTAGTACTCCCCACGTCCATCTATGCTGTTGCAAAAGGTAAAATTTCCTTCTTTTTTATGGCTGAGTAGTATTCCATTGTGTAATGTACCACAGCTTTTTGATCCACTCATCTACAGATGGGCACTTAGGCCGTGCAGCATATATTCTAATGGGAGAGACTTTCAGTTATTTCACAAATATTTGAGGGCACATTGTGTGCAAGACACTATTCTAAATGATGGGAATGCAGAAGTTAACAGATACAAATCCTTGCCTTAGGCAGTTTATATTCTTGTGTCAGACAATAAATAAGTAAACAAATAATTAAATGCAAACAAGGAAATAAATATGGGGATTAACAGAGCAGCACTGTCTAATCAAACTTTCTTTGAGGGTGGAAATGTTCTATATCTGCACTGTCCAGAAGGGTAACCATAGCCACATATGGCTAATGAGCACATAAAATATCATCATTGTAGCTGAGGAACTGAATTTTTAATTCTTTTTTTTCTTTTCAGAGAGGAAGGTAGAGGGAGAGAGAATCATTGATCGTCTGCCTCCTGCATGACCCCTGCTGGGGATGGAGCCTACAATTAGGGTATGTGCCTTGACCTGGAATTGAACCATGACCTCCTGATTTATAAGTCAATGCTCAACCATTGACCCATACCAGCCAGACTGATTTTTAATTTCATGTAATTTTAATTTGAATACCCACATTTAGTCACTATTTTTAATCCAGGGGCTCAATAATATCAGTTTTGTTTTCTTAAAACTTTTACTTTCAAAATATGTTTTATTATTATTATTATTATTGATTTTAGAGAAAGAGGGAAACATTGATTCACTGCCTCCTATTCTATCCAGGGAGAATGGAGAGAGCCTGGATGACAGACCGCTAAGTGCTTGACAAGAAATTCCACACTGGCTAAGTAAGGTTATGTTTCTGGGAGAGATTGAAACTGCAATTATATCAGATATAAATCTAGGTTTGGTATTATAGGCTGTTAACACAAGTTACTGCATTTGGAGCCTGTGGTTTTTTTCTTTAACATTAGAAATGCAGAATTTGAGACTCCACACTAACTGAATCAGAATTTTCATTCTCAAGTTTTATCGAGTCTTTATGCCCATTGAGGTTTTTTGTTTGTTTGTTTGAATCTTTGCCTGAGGATTGTTTTTGTTGATTTTAGAGAAAGGAAGGGAGAAGAGGGAGGGAGAGAAACATCCATCAGTTGCCTCCTGAACATGCCCCAACTGGGGATTAAACCCAAGACCTAGGTATGTGCCCTGACGGGGAGTAGAACCTGCAAACCTTTTGGCTCCAACCGAATGAGCCACCTAGCCAGAGCTGCCCATTAAAGTTTGATGAGCATTGCTTTACAACATTCCTGAGTTCCGAGGATAAAAGATGAAGTTCAGGCTTGAAGATACAAATTAAAGCCATGGTTTTGGAGGAGATCATCTGGGCCAGCGGTTCTCAACCTGTGGGTCGAGACCCCTTTGGCGGTCGAACGACCCTTTCACAGGGGTTGCCTAAGACCATCCTGCATATCAGATATTTACATTACGATTCATAACAGTAGCACCATTACAGTTACGAAGTAGCAACGAAAATAATTTTATGGTTGGGTCACAACATGAGGAACTGTATTTAAAGGGCCAGAAGGTTGAGAACCACTGATCTAGGCTAAAGGAGAAAGTATCCATAAGGAGACAACATCTAGGGTAATCTCTGAAGCACACCGACATGTAATGGCTCAATAGAGGATGTGGCAGCTGAGACCTAAGAAGAGCAGCGAGTGGGATCGGAATGAAACCAGGTGTGCTCTGCATCCTGGAAGCCAAACAAGGAGGGTCTTTCCAAAGGGGAGGATCTGTGTTGAATGCTCCTGATATGTTGAGTAAGATGAGGAAAAAGTTTGTCTTGGAGGTTTTTGATAACCTTTAGAAAAGCAATTTCAGGGTAGTTTGCAGAGTGAATTGGAGGTGATAAAAACAAGTAGAGATAGTTCATTCAAGAGGTTTTTCTGTAAAGGAAATCTGGCAGTCGCTGGTGCTACCTCAGATTTTATTGATTTTTTACAGAGAGGAAGGGAGAGAGATAGAGAGTTAGAAACATCGATGAGAGAGAAACATCGATCAGCTGCCTCCTGCACATCTCCTACTGGGGATGTGCCCGCAACCCAGGTACATGCCCTTGACCGGAATCGAACCCAGGACCCCTCAGTCCGCAGGCCGACGCTCTATCCACTGAGCCAAACCGGTTTCGGCCATTCAAGAGGTTTTTCTGTAAAGGAAATCTGGCAGTCGCTGGTGCTACCTCAGAGAACTTTGTTTTGTTTGTAAGATAAATTTGTGTGCTGACGGAAAACATCCAGAGGACAGGGGGAAATAGATGATTCAAGTTCAAAGGGGATAACTGAGTGAGTGAGATGTTTAACTGAATGAGTGAAATGTTTAAGGAAACGAGAGATGGGATTCATACTACAACAAAGAGGAATTTGCCTTTGAAAGGAGCAAGAATACGTCTACCCTTGTAACAGGAAGGAAAGCAGAAGGATGGATGCGGTTTCCTCAAAGAGGTAGGAAACATTGGCGGAGTGATTTGGGAGAGGGACTTGGCCTGTAAAAGGTTGGAGAAGAAGAGGAGAAAGAACGTATAAAATATTTTTTTTAACTCATTAGAGAAGCATAACACGATATCTGGGTAGGGAAGGGTACCCTTTAGAAGTTTGTGACCAGAATTTAAAGTGAAAATAACTAAATTGTGTGATATTCTTCAGGTACATTCAATAATGCTGACGTTCCTGGCTTTGTAGCAGAATTAGCGTAATCCTTTGGGCTTCTCTCAGAACTTCCTTTCGCACTCGGGTATATTTGGTGCGGCATAACACGTGGTGGACTGCCCTGCCGTGCGGAAGTGCCCACTAATTGCATTTAATTTCCTCAAATCTCCCAAATAAACGCCTTCAGTGGTCGCAAGTGCCCTCAGCAGTTGCAAGTCACACCTCCAGCCACCAGGGCCCGCTGTGGCGCTCCTCGCGGCCGGAAGGGAGTGCGACCCAGCGCGGCCTCGGCGTTTCCGCTGTGCGTTCGCAGCGCTCCGCGCGCTCTTTACGTCGGCGGCCTGGGAGGAGGCGTTTCCGGCCATTCATACTCCGTTCCGGTGGTCGGAGTTGTCCGTTTTTGTGCACTCTCGGACAGAAATCTTGAAATCTTCGTCAGGATGAAGCTCGTGAGGTGAGGAGGTGACCAAACAGGGTGGGGGCCGTGAAGGAACGGTTTGGGCCGGAAGCGGGAGCCTGGGCCGCCCCACTTGTCGGAGGCGCGAAAGCCGCGTGCGCGGCCTGTAACGGCCTCCGGCGTCCGCCGCTCCCGCCTTATCTTGGCCGCGCCGCCGCCGGCGCTGAGGCCTGGCCTTTCAGGCTGCGTGGCGCGGGGATCCCTCGCGTCTTCCAAGAGGTGGACGTGAAGACCGAGCCCTTTCTTCCCACCCAGTGTCTGAGGCCGTAATGGGGCAGCTGAGGCTTACAAGGCCTTGCTTTCGGTCACGTACCGAGTTTCTAGCGTAGACGACTTCTGGAGCTCACCTCGGCCTCGGGAATCGGCACACTCCCTGAGAACGTGGAAGGGACAAAAATTGCACGTCCTGCATAAATGGTTTAAATTAAAAAGAGTGCTTACAACCTGCGGGGGTTTGCCTGGGAAATAAGCCAATTTTCGAAATGTGTTAAATCAGGATGGACGGGCTTTTTTTTTTTTTTTTTTTAGTTTAGTTTACTTTTTGATGCTCTCTAGATTTAAGATTATTCAATTTACCTTCCCCTTTAAAGTAGAGTAGGCCTTTGAGCCCTGGCCAGTGAGGTTCAATTGGTTGGAGCGTCGTCTTGTTCACCAAAAGGTGGCGGGTTCGATCCCTGCTGGGAAGGCAACCGATGGCTGTATCTTTCTCTAAAATCAGTAAAAACAAATACAGTAGGCCTTTGATTTAGGAGAAATTTCCCAACTTGGGGACAGAATCACTTTCGGTATTTGTGATCGACTACACGGAGAATCGCTATTTTTTCCGTTTTATTTCTTTTTTTTAAAATATATTTTATTGATTTTTTACAGAGAGGAAGGGAGAGGGATAGAGAGCTAGAAACATCGATGAGAGAGAAACATCGATCAGCTGCCTCCTGCACATCTCCTACTGGGGATGTGCCCACAACCAAGGTACATGCCCTTCACCGGAATCGAACCTGGGACCCTTCAGTCCGCAGGCCGACGCTCTATCCACTGAGCCAAACCGGTTAGGGCCCGTTTTATTTCTTAAACTTGTTTGGTTTAACCTATTAATTTTACACTATCTGCAAATGGATTTGCTGTTGGTGTTTTTTTTTCTTGAGGCTGAGAGGCTCAAGGTTTCTAATAACCAAGCCGGGAGTTAAAATACTTAGCTAGTGTGTTGCCTATTTATTGAGTTAAGAATTGTTAGTATGGGGCACCTGTGAAATTGTGCACTGGTAATGGATTTGTTTGTTTGTTTATTTATAGATGAGAGAGAGAGAAATAGTTGTTCCACTTATTTATAAACTCATGGTTGATTTTTGTATGTGCCCTGACGGGATGGAACCCGAATCTTTGGCATATGGGGACAACGCTCTAACCAACTGAACTCCCCGGCTTGGATTTCTTTTTCTTTTCCTTTTTTCTTTCTTTTTTTTTAAGGTCGAGTCCCTCCTTTGTTGGACTTTCCTGTTTTGTGGGGAAGGCAGACTAGTAGATACTTTTTAGTGTGTTTGAAATGACCTTTCACACTCTTCAGGGTGGAGTTTGTAGAGAAAGCATTTAATGTTAATTTTTAGTCCATTATTTGAACTATAACTTTGGATGAAAAGGCCTCAGAGCCCTAGTGGGTTTGGCTCAGTGGATAGAGCATTGGCCCACTTACTGAAGGGTCCCTGTTGGATTCAGGTCAAGGGCACATAGCTCTCCCTGGTCGGGGAGACAATCAATGTGTGTCTGTCTCACATCTGTGTTTCTCTCTGAGTCTCTCCCCCTCCCTTCCACTCTCTAAAAAATCAATGGGAAAATATCCTTGGCTGGGGATCAACAAAAACAAAAAAGAAAGGTCTCAGGATTTAAAGTACATTTTTGTTTGCAGATTTTTAATATTTCCTACAACTTTTGTAGTATACTATGTTAGTACAGTTTGGGTAATATATTTAAAAAATTTTTCTTGAAATAATGCTTATTGCATGTAATAATATTTAAAATAGTTTTTCTTGAAAAAGTAAAAAAAAAAGCTATTTTTAATTAGAAAAAAGTATATTTTTGAATTTTCTCAATACCTGATAGTCTAAGTTTTATGTAATACTCTTTGAAATTAGTTTGTCTCATTTAAAGATTCCGTGTTGTGACAGTTTTCTTGTAAATTTTAATGACTGTATTCAATCCTATTCTGTGTCTTAGAATATAGAAACAAAATTATCCCAGACCAAGTAATTTCCCCTTTTTTGATGGCTGTACCACTAAAAAAAAAGTGGTACTTTAAGGCTGGCTTCCTTTTAATTATTGAAACATTCAGCCAACTGTTACTTAGTGCCTATTACAATCAGGGTTAGATTAAATATCATAAGTTGTACCCCTCAACAGCAGTTTAGTAGGGGAGAAAAAAGGTAATCCTACATGTATAAGAAATTTTGAATGTGAACTTTATATTAAATTCGTATTGTGGGATTATTGTTTTTTCTAGATGTGATTGTGTGGGAGAATGTTCTCATTAGAAAATGTATGTTGAAGTGCCTGTGATTTATTTTCAGAGGATTTGGTGAAAGTGTAAGTTTTGTGTATAGGAGGGAGACACACAAATGGCAACATTTCAATAATTTGTCAACCCTTCAACTTTTCTTCTTCTGCTATATTTCATAATAAAAGTTGGGGGAGAACAAAAAACTAGATGAAGTGTACTAAATACAAAATTGGATGAAAATAAGAGACAATTTTGGGATGGAAAACATTTTCCTAAACAAATTACATACCTAGGAAGGATTCACAAATTTAGCAATATGAAATGGGGGGAAAATATTGTATGACTAAAGAAAACCACAAACAAACTTGAATGGCTGTTGCAAACTGGTAGAAAATAAAAGAAAAATCTAACCTAATTGAAAGTGTGTGAATAATGTGAATAGATAATTCACAAAAGGAATATAAATTTCCCATATTTATGAAGATATTCAACCTCACAAGTAATAGAAGAAAGCAGATTGCTTTTTTTTCCCTATCAGATACACACACATACAAAAAAAAAATTTTAAAAGATTGGTGACAACCAAAGGACTTGTATGCATGCATATTAGCATAACCAATGGACACAGACACTGGGGTAGTGGGGGCTTGCCCAGGGTGGAAATGGCTAGGGGAGGGGGTCAATTGGGGAAAAAGGAGACACATATAAAACTTTAGACAATAAAAGAAAATAAAAAAATAAGATTGGTGACGGTGTTTGTGAGGATTTGTATTAATGGATTTGTGATAGCAATATATATATAATATACATATTATATATATGTATACACATGTATATTAAAATGTCTCTAATATAAACTGCTAAATGAGAACTGTGGGTTAGAGAAGTCATTAAAGTATGGCCCAATTATGTGAAAGCAAATTTTATGAATATGCTTATAAATGCATGTAAAATGGTCTATAAGAATATCCTCAAAAACATGGAGCGGGATAGAAAGGGAGACTTTTACTTGATCATATATATACAATAATCATGTAATTTTTTACTACCAATTATAATTTGTTATTTTTCATTCATTATTAAGATATACTTGACATACAGCACTGTGTAAGTTAAAGGTGTACAGCATAATGACTTGATTTACATATATTTCAAAATGATTGCCACAGTAAGTTTAGTTAACATTCATCATCTGGTATAAATACAAAAAAAAGGTTTCTTCCTTGTGATGGGAACTTTTTTTTTTTTTTTTTATCAGAGAGGAAGGGAGAGAGAGAGAGAAACATCAGTGATGAGAGAATCATTGATCGGCTGCCTCCTGCACGCCCCCCACGGGATCGAGCCCGAAACCTGGGCATGTGCCCTTGACCGGAATTGAACCTGGGACCTTTCAGTCAACACTCTATCCACTGAGCCAAACCAGCTAGGGCATGATGGGAGCTTTTAAGATCTACTCTCTAAGCCAGCGGTCACCAACTGGGGTGGTCGTGAGGTCTGAAAGGTTGGTGACCACTGCTCTAAGCAACTTTTTTTAAAAAAAAGTAATATTTGTGATTTTATTTGAACCAAACTATCAAGGGAAGCGAAATATGCATTGATACAATGCTTCAGAGAATGGCAGTTTTGCACCTTATTTTATACATTACTAGTGGCCCAGTGCACGAATTCGTGCGCATTGAATGGAAAGTAATTAGAAGAAATATTTTAATGTTGCTATACACCCTTTCTCTGTAATAAAAGTGTCAACCAAATTCACAATCAACAATGATAGATTGAAACACACGTGTGCTATTGGCACCAGTGAGAGTTTTATATGTATGGCGCCTGTGCGAGTCAACTTAGCCTTTTATATATATACTAGAGGTGCACAAAAATTTGTGCACTGGGGGGGGTGGTCCCCCAGCCCGGCCTGTGCCCTCTCGCAGTCTGGGACCCCTCGGGAGATAACGACCTGCTGGCTTAGGCCTGCTCCCGGGTGGCAGAGGGCAGGCCCAATCCCTAAGTGCAGCCCCTGGTCACGCTCAGAGTAGGGCCGATTGGGGGGTTGGGGCACCGCCCCCTGTCACACTCAAGGCAGGGTCGATAGGTTGCGGCGCCACCCCCTGTCACAGAGCAGGGCCGATCAGGGGGTTGGGGCGCTGCCCCCTGTCACGCTGATCCCGGTGCCGGGTGGCCTCGCGGCTCCGCTGATCCCGGTGCCGCGAGGCATATTACCCTTTTACTATATAGGATAGAGGCCTGGTGCATGGGTAGGGGCTGGCTGGTTTGCCCTGAAGGGTGTCCTGGATCAGGGTGGGGGTCCCCACTGGGGTGCCTGGCCAGTCTGGGTGAGGGGCTGAGGGCTGTTTTTCAGAAGCGAGTGACTGAAGCTCCCAAACTATCCTTTTTTTCTTTTTTCTTTTTTTTATTCTGGGCCAGCTTTAGCTCTGAGGCCTCACTGCTGAAAACACCGATTCAGTGTTGCAGTCCGGCTGGCTGAAGCCCGGCTGAATGAAAGCAGGTTTCTGGGGTTTTGTTTAGCTTCTTATTTGCAACATAGTACATAGTTGCTTGGAGTTGCAGCTGAGAGGCCGGCAGCAGCAGGCGGGGAACGTTGGAGTTCGCTGTCACTGGAGCAAGCAAGCCTCCCTGTTCGCTTCAGTGCATGGCTGCCAGTCGCCATCTTGGCTGACAGTTAATTTGCATAAGGATATGCTGATTAGCCAATGGGAAGGGTAGCGGTCGTACGCTAATTACCATGTTTCTCTTTTATTAGTGTAGATAGAATAAACTTGCTTAATTAGACCTGCTTTCTGATTTAGCTAAACTTTTTCCAGCCCAGTGTAGCACCCCTACTTCTTTCAGGTAATTGTCAGCAACACAGCAGTAAATATCAACATGAAGCAGATTATTGTAGATCACGTAGGGAGAACAAAGGGTAAAATATTTAACTGCAGCAGTGTCTGACTATATTCTACCCAGTGAGAAAACCTGAAGTCATTTTCAAGGTCCACCATTTCTTCTTTTGAGTTGGGTCAAGTTTCTAAATTTCTAAATCTCCTTTTTCTGGCTAATGAAAAGAGAACAGGATTCCACCAAGTCTCCTTTCTACCTACTCTAAGATTTCTGTGAGGATCAAATGAGATGAGGCACAGGAAAACGCTTCACAGACATTTGGTTAAAGTGTAAATGTTTCCACCTGGTTATAAAGCAAGTTGTGTTCCTGGGCTGAAGAAACAGCAAGGAGGCTAGTCGCTAGTCACTAGGGAGAGAAAGCTGGGCGTTGCCACATGACATCATTACCCAGAGCCCATGGCCACTGTTTCCAGGCTGGGCTGTGGGCCCATTTTGCGCCATGACAGCATCAGCTGCATTTTGGTGGGGTGGTGGCAGGGCCTGTGTCCCACTTGGGGGAAGCTGAGTGTTGCTTTGTTGGCGCCAGGTCTGTGCTGCCATTTCTCTATAAATGGCCAGTGCCTGTCATGGCAGTTCCTGCATTGAGTGTCTGACCCCTGGTGGTCAGTGCACATCATAGCGACTGTCAGACTGGTGGAGAGACACTTAGCATATTAGCCTTTTATATATAGAAGAGATTCGTGCAATAGGCCTTCCCTTCCCCTGGCTGCCGGCACCGGTTTTCCTCTGGCACCCGGGACCCAGGCCTTCGCTCCAGCCCAGAGCCTTCCGTCTTCGCTCCTCCACTTTGCGCCTACATATGCAAATTAACCGCCATCTTTGTGGGGTTAATGTGCATACTCTCCTGATTGGCTGGTGAGCATAGCGGATGGAATGTCAATTTACATGATTGTCTATTATTAGGTAAGGTAATCGAAAGAAGATGTAAGTGGGTTACATAAATTCATTGGTGATAGATTAGGGATGCAGGAGAAAACAGCAGTGAAACCTCTGGGATTGGATAAAAAGTAAAATGAAACATCTTTTACATAAGTGGGCACATGATAATTAATAGTCAAAAATTAACATCAGCCCTAACTGGTTTGGCTCAGTGGATAGAGCGTTGTCCTGCAGACTGAAGGGTCCCAGGTTCAATTCCGGTCAAGGGCACGTACCTTGGTTGCAGGCATATCCCCAGTGTGGGGGTGTGCAGGAGGCAGCTGATCGATGTTTCTCTCTCATCGATGTTTCTAAGTCTCTATCCCTCTCCCTTCCTCTCTGTAAAAAATCAATAAAATGTATTTTTTTTTTAAAAGAATTAACATCAATAACAATGAGAGAATTTGTAGTCTCTGCTCTGGTGTATTGGTTGTGCCCTGAGGGGTCCAGAAAAAGGGAAATTACCCTGACATTCCAAATGTATGTTAGATGCAAAAGTCTAAGCAACTTTAAAATATGTCATACAGCAGTGTTAACTGTAGTCAGCATGTTGCACATTATACCCCAAATATTTATGTATTTTCTAACTGGAAATGTGTACCTTTTGACCACTTTCATCCATATAATTTCTTGATTTCAATTTTGTGGTTTATAATGACTTTAGGATCTGTATGCACGGATGATGCTTTACAATGGTTTAGAAAATCACAAGTGTCCAAATGACTGTGTGTTGTTATTATGCTCCTTCATAAATGCTAAGATTTTCATTCAGGAAAAGCTGAAATTGTGATGGAGATTATTAATAGGAATTGATGCAGATAGCATCTAAGCAGCTTTTTAACAATTAGAAATTTCACCCTTTTGAACTTAATAAACATTTTAAAGGTGAAAATTTATCATTTTATTCCTGCTGTCTTTATAGATTTTTGATGAAACTGAGTCACGAAACTGTAACCATCGAATTAAAGAATGGAACACAGGTCCATGGAACAATCACAGGTATGGAGGTTAGACTGCTTTATAAAGCCCTTCTATCTACAGGCCAGAATTTCTTTTTGGTTGCTTAATGAACGTTCTTGTAGTGGGTATCTCATTCTTTTTGTCTGAATTATTTCACTGGCCTTTTTACTTCAGCTTTACCTGAAGTACTTCTGCTAAGACCGAGCTGGGTTCCCCCAAGATGTCCTATATGTGACCCCTGTTATCCTATTTTTATGCCTTTCATGCTTTTATCTGTGTGTGTGTCCTTTTGCCTGCAATGTTGCATCTTCCAAAATATATTTTATTACTTTTATTAGAATTTTGTGCTCCCTGTTAGATTGTAAAGACTTTGAAGATAGAAGATGGATTTCTGTGTCTTATTATCTTGGGTAAAAATATATGTGGGAGATTGAGAGGGGACAGTAAGGAACTATAATTTAACTCTTTGCTGTAATGATGTTATATGTTTAGGTTTATATTGAAGGCCACTGTGATTTTTTTCATTCATAGTAGGCCCTCTTTTTCATTCATAGTAGGCCCTCTTCCAAAGCTGCAGAATTTCAAAAGAATTGATGAGCCAAAGAAAGAAAATGCTATCTTGGCATGTGGTCCCACTCTCTTAAATGTTTAAGTTATAAATTTATAAATAATTTTTTAACACATAGATCAAGCATCTGAGTAAGCCAAGAGAAATATACGTTATTAAACTTATATTATTTGTATGTATACTAGAACTTTGTAATGCCAGTTGCTATGAAGAAATCAGTAGTACAATGTAAGATTTTGATATCTGAGGAAGTATAATTGCTATTACGTTAAAATTCTATAAACAGTGGTTAGTCTGCATTCTCTAAGGTCTTTTTAGGAATTCAAAATCTAGTGATGGGCCTGGCCGGCGTGGCTCAGTGGTTGAGCGCTGACCTATGAACCAGGTGGTCATAGTTCAATTCCCAGTCAGGGCACATTGCCCGAGTTGTGGGCTCGATCCCCTGTATGGGGTGTGTAGAAGGCAGGTGATCAGTGACTCTCCACAAAATACCAACTTCTGCACATGGGCCACGAAGTTTCAATCGCACTGTACATGCGCGCCCGCACGTGGTATTTTGTGGAAGAGCCACACTCAAGGGGCCAAAGAGCCGCATGTGGCTCTCGAGCCGCGGTTTGCCGACCATGGCCTTAGGCTATGAGGAGATTATAAGGAAACAGTGGAAATAGGCATGTGTATCAGTTAGGGTCTCTCCATGGCTTGCTGCATTCACTTCTGTAAGTATATCTAACATGGGAGGGAAAATCTCTCTAAAGGAAAGACTTCTGATTTGTACAGACAATATCTCCTCCACTTACCAGTTAACATAATTATGTCATAAATACTTGCACTGTAGCAAAACAGTACTCTTTTGTAATAAGGTACACTGTACTTGATACATTAATTGGTTGCCTTTCTTATTGTGCTAATAATTGTCCTCTTTTTTCCCTCTAGGTGTAGATGTCAGCATGAATACTCATCTTAAAGCTGTGAAAATGACCCTGAAGAACCGAGAACCTGTACAGCTGGAAACACTGAGTATTCGCGGAAATAACATTCGATATTTTATTCTGCCAGACAGCTTACCTTTGGATACACTACTTGTGGATGTTGAACCGAAGGTGAAATCTAAGAAAAGAGAAGCTGGTAAGTTGGAAGGATTATAAATGTTTTTGTGAATGTATTTATACCCTAATTCACTAATCAAAAATATGACTGTTTGCAAACAACAGGGTTTTTTTTTAATTGCCCATACTTGCCATGAGTGCATTTGTTATAGTATTTATTATTTTTACTGGTGTTGTTATTAAAACACGATTCCCATTTTTCTGTACCTTTGTGCCTGGCCTTATCTCCCACCCTGTACATACTTTGGAAGATTTGGACATTGGCTCTTCCCAGTATTCTGAAATTTCTTAATGACTTGGCATAGGATCTTCGCTTGTCTTCCCTATTTTCCCTTCATTTTGCTGTTCTGGGTATACTTGGTGGACCCTTTCAACGTGGATGTTTTGTCTTCTATTTCCTGAGAAATTTCCTTGGCCTTATCTTCCAATCTAGCATACACTTAATCTTCAAGACTCTTGTGTTCTCTGATAATTTTTCATAGAATTCTGTCCTTGTTATATGGATATAGGTTTTCTTTTTTCTTATATGAATAATACTGGGTAGGATATTAACTAGTAGGACATTAATCATAGTTTTTGGTGTGTTTTTTTTTTAAAGTTTTATTCTGTACTTGGCATTATTTTCTCTGGTTTCTCTTTATATTTGGTCTTTATTAAGTACTTTATTCTTTGGTCATCTGTTACTTAAAGTTCTGGGAAGGGAGGCTGGCCGCCTTAGCTGGTCTGTATCATTGTAAGAGCAGGGAGGAGAAAGAGGCTGGGTGTTTTATAGACTGTCACTTAATATAATGATTTTGAGACTTTTCTTCCACCCACACTAAAATATACCTTGTATTGTGACCCACTCATAACTGAAATAAAAGTTTCAGGAACAATAACTTGGCCTTTAATACATACAAATGCCTTTAAGCTTTCTATCCTATCCTCTTTTTGAAAAAATACATATTTTTATTGATTTCAGAGAGGAAAAGAGAGGGGAGAGAGATAGAAACATCAATGATGAGAGAGAATCATCAATTAACTGCCACCTGCACTCCCCCTACTGGGAACTGAGCTCGCAACCTGGGCATGTGCCCTTGACCGAAATCGAACCTGGGACCCTTCAGTCCGAGAGTCGACGCTCTATCCACTGAGCAAAACCAGCTAGGGCCCTGTTCTCTTTTAGTTAAGAAAATTTCAGGTTACAACTCAGCTTAAAAAATGCTGATTTAATACCCCTGTCCCTTTGCCTTGCTCTGTGCCTTTTGCTGCTATCCACTTTGTGTTTTCAAATCTGAAGCCTTTCTGTATCTTTAGGTTCATTTTACCCTTTCTTACCTACCTGTTAGCTTTGTAATTAGCTTTGCAAGGTGGGGAAGAGGACTAGATAGTTTATTGCTCCACATAAAATTGTCAACTATTTTTTTGTTTGTTTTCAGGATAGTGGCCTCATTTTACTTTTGGTTCCCAACATTCTAGGTCTCTAGGGAGTTATTCTTCCCTTACTAAACATATACTGTCCTTAGACTACTTTCTAACTTAAAAATTTGTGGGGAAAATTCTTTCAACCACTGTGTGTTCTCTACCCTTTTTTTTTTTTTTTTTGGTCCTTATGGGTATTTGCCATTTTTATTCCTTTTCTATCATGAATAGTGTTTCAGGATGTGCGGTTAATCTGCCTTGTTTTTAACAGATATTCTAGACTTACTATATTGCTTTTTAAGCTGAAAATAATAGATAGAATGTAACTGACAACTGCATGTTAGGATTTTTTAAAATATTTATAGCTGTCCAAAGATGAAATAGGTTCATTTGGATAGGAGTTTTCTGTCGCTGATATTCAGGTAGATTTAAGATGACCAGGTGACAAGGGATATTGCTGTATGGATTAAAATATTAGGTTTTGCTTGGATTCTCTTCAGTAACAAAAAGTCTGGCATATGGTGTTCATGTTCTGTTCCATTGATAAGATATCTCTTCCATCTTGTATGAGGTTCAGATCATTTGCATTTCATTTTTTGGGGGATTTTGAGACATGATAACAAAGGAAAATATTTTAAAACTTGATGAATTTCTTGGTAATTATATTCAAACTAACAAATACTACAATAAAGACTAGCGATGCTTGCTTGGTTCTGTGTGTATTTGGAGAGGTGACTTGAGGTTACATTTGAGAGAAGCCAAGAAAGTTTTCTTTACTGTAGATGCTATTTGTGGTGACCAGGTAACATCAGATCAGAAGAGAATTTACCTTGCCTTATTTTTTTCTTTCCTCAGTTGCAGGAAGAGGCCGAGGCCGAGGAAGAGGAAGAGGACGTGGCCGGGGCAGAGGAAGAGGGGGTCCTAGGCGATAATGTCTCTCATGATTACTGTTTCAAAGTGATACGCGATTTGGGATATTTTTTGTACAGGTTTTGTTTGTTTATGTCAGTTTTTAATAAACATAAATGTAGGCCAGTTGTCTATTGACTATCACATTTAGTTTTAATAGTTCATATATTCATGACATAATACAGTGAGAGCTGAGCATTATTACATGGCAGTTCAGAATTCCATTCATAGATCAGGCTTTTAATTTTTTTTAACTAAAATATTTCTTTTATAAATACATATAGCATTTACATACATCTTTTTGCTTCACATGCACTGAATATGTATTTTGTTTTACTTTGACTCAATTCTATGAAACCTACCTACAGGTGAAATGGGTTTTGTTTGTTACTTCAGAAGCTGAAGTCCTATGGAATGGGCTGTAAAATTGGTTCTCCTTTCCTGAGTTTTACTCCATGGAAACTTAGGTACTTAGTAAAAGTTGATAGTCATCTTCTAATTTAGGAGTCATTGGTTTTGTTGGGATAATGGTTTTTGTTTTTTGTTTTATTTTTTCAATAGTCTCTCAATAGAATATAATTTTCCATTCTCCTGACTTGAAACTTCAGTTAACATTTACTAGGTTATCGGTTGTAAGCAGTGTTGAAATGTGTTATTGTGGAATATACCTGCCAGTGGCCCCTTTATCAAGAACTTTTACAAGGAGTCCTTTAAGAACAAAAGGAAAACTACTTATTTTATGACAACACCGGATTCTTTCCAGTAGTTAAGGATTTTTAAAAATTGTTTTAATTGGTTAAGCTTAGAAAAAAATACTTCTCAGTATATACAGTTCCTTGTAAAGCTTACTACCATTTGTTTATATGTTAAGGGAAGAAAATTAATTTTGAAGATGGGGGATTAAGTCTATTTTCACTTAATTAAGCTTGTGGAGTTTTGTGGGGGTTTTTTGTGTTTTTTTTTTATGAGGAAATTGTCTGCAGACATCTAAAAAGGTTTTAAGCCCTGTAAGAGGGTTATGTAAGCTGAGAGGTAGCAAGAGTATTTGTGTGTGGTATATGTGTCTCAGTCTTGTCTATCCACTGATCTGTCAGCATTCCAATTATTTGAACCTAAGCAGAAAGCAAGGAAGCCCAATGATGCAGCAAGGTGAAGAGGATATTCAAAGGGAGCAAACAGAAAAGACCTGGCACAAGTGAACTAACATAAGTTGATTTTTGTCCTCAGACCTTATAGGCTAAAAGGGAAGCAAAATTAAAATAAACATTAATATGTAACTGGAAATTGTGGCAACTCTGTCTGATAAAGAGTACTTCCTATTATCTCGTCTATTTTAAAAGCAGTGTATATTGGCTTCTCATTTTTAAGTCATGCCAGTGTAACCTCAAAGTTATTAACCTGTTTTATTTTTGTGTTTTAATATCTAGATGTTTGCATTGTGAAACCAGTCTAGTAACAGTTTAAATGTAAGAGTAAACCACAGTGGTTACTAGATTGAGTTTAATCCACTTGAAGTCATTATTTCATTTTTATGTATGAGGGAAAAGCTGTTTGAACTGCCGTTATTAGCTATAAAGGATGCCCTGCAGTATGAGTAGAAAACAGACCAAGTTTTAATATGCTTCTCTTGCCCTACTTCCCCCAAAAAGTATATAAGGATCTTAGTGCTGCTGCATTGTGCATATTTCTGATACCTTTTAAAGCTTAAGATTTAGTGAAATTTAGGTGCTGTTTGTTTTTTTTTTAAAGAATTGCATTTAGCCCTGACCGGTTTGGCTGAATGGATAGAGCATCAGCCTGCGGACTGAAGGGTCCCAGGTTCGATTCCCGTCAAGGGCATGTACCTTGGTTGCGGGCACATCTCCAGTGGGGAGTGTGCAGGAGGCAGCTGAATCGATGTTTCTCTCTCATCGATGTTTCTACCTCTCTATCCCTTTCTCCCTTCCTCTCTGTAAAAAAATCAATAAAATATATTTAAAAAAAAAAAAAAGAATTGCATTTAGGTAGAAAATTGTAAGTGGAATAATAGAATATCAAATTTCACAGTGTCTTAATCTATACATATAAAACCTTAATATGAAAATAGACCAAACAGCGGAACAACTGAACAACTGGTCACTATGACGTGTGCTGACCACCAGGGGCACGCACAGAACATGGCAGGCGTTGGCAGCAGGATGCAGAGCGTGGAACATGGTGAGCATTGGCCACGGTGGGATGGTAGAGCAGGTGAGTGGGGGCGCCAGACCAAGGCAGAGTGCCAGTAGTCATTGGGGTGAGCCTCTGATGGTTACTGAAAATTATTTGCTCCCACGCACCGTAGTCCCACCCCATGCTCAGAGCCACCACTCATACCCGCTGCTGGCACCAGACCCTATCGCTTGGCCCCGTCAGTGGGTGCGAGTGGCGGCTGCTGACCCCAATTGCCCCTAAGGGCTTCTCCACCTCCCCCTGCTCCTGAGGGGTGATTGGGGCAGCAAACGGTGCTCACATCTGCTGCTGGTGCCGGCCCAAATTGCTCTGCGCCATCAGTGGGCAGGAGTGGGGCTTCTGGTGGACAGGGCCGTGACAGGAGGGGCCAGATGAATGCGGAGGATGGGCTGAGACCTGCCACTGTGCCCACTGCAGCTGCGCGGCCCACAGTTCCTTTCAAGGTACACAAATACGTGCACTGAGCCCCTAGTATAATTATCGTGGTTATGCAAGGATGGCTTGGTATTTTGAAATTATTAATATAGTCAGTAGTCAAAATTTACATGATTACATTAGTATGACATTTCATAAGATATAACACTCGTAAAAACCTAAACTGGAAGATGATTCCTTAACATGATGAAGAAAGTCCATCTTAAACCAATAGCAGACATTTTCTAGATACATTTTAACTTAAAAAGTATACCTAATATTAGCCTTCATTACTTAATGTGAAAATTCTTGTGGATCAAAAAATTAAGGCACATACTTTTGAAAAGGAAGGGAAATTTGCTAACTATATTTGTGTAGCAACATGGTAGTGTTACATTTATCTGAACCTGCTTTTCCTGTCAGTAAAGCGTTAAAGTGTTTGTGTATTTTATATTTTAGATAAGGGTAGTATATATGTGAGATTCAATTTATAAAAGAATAATAGCAAAGGCTCTAGATGTCAAATGCAGATTTTTATTCATGGTAATTAAGTGCTATAAAGTTGCTGCAAATTCTGAGTTAACCCGTGTTCCTAGGGGAAATAAAGGGTTAGGTTCCTATGAGCATACAGCAGTGGTTCTCAACCTTGGTTGCACATTAGAATCACCTGGGAATCTTTAAAATACTGATTTCTGGGCCTCATCCTCCGGAAATTCTGTTTGTTATGGGGTGAGGCCACAACATAAGTAACAAAGAAACAATTTCTGGAGGATGATTCCCAGGTGATTCTAATGTGCAGCCAAGGTTGAGAACCACTGGCCTACAGTAATATTTTCATCAACTGGATTAATATATAACCTTGTTTTATATGTGTGTTTCTGTTTAAAGACACTAATATATATTGTTTACATTGAATTCACAACCAATCCTATATAATAAAAGCCTAATATGCAAATTGACCAAACGACGGAACAACCGGTTACTATGACGCACATTGACCACCAGGGAGTAGACAACACAGGAGCTGCCCACAGGCCCAGGCCAACCAAGGCGGGTGCTGGTGGGGCACCCCCCTTCCCCAATTGCCCCACTAGTTGCACAAAGATAAGCCCTGATTGATGGCCAGGCCCGGGGACCCTACCCATGAATGAGTTTCATGCATCGGGCCTCTAGTAGCACTATAACTCAAGCCTGAATGAAGCTGTTTTGCACAGGTATTTTCTCCAAAAGGCACATGACAGCCTTGGGCATGCTTAAGCACTATGCTTATGGGCCATTTTAAACAAAATCACAAAAATATGAAAAAGGTGGCACTGCCTGGCTGGTGTGGCTTGGTTGGAGTGTCTTCCCATGGACCAGAAGGTAAAAGGTTCGATTCCCAGTCAGGGCACATACCTAGGTCATGGGTCCAACCCCCTGTTGGGACACATACAGGAGGCAACTGATGTATCTCATATCAATGTTTCTTTTCCTCTCAAAATCAATTTTTAAAAAAAAGTGGCGAGAGAGAAACCAAGATGGCGGTATAGGTAAACACCAGAAATTGCTGCCTTGCACAACCACTTCAAAAATACAACTAAAAGACAAAACGGACATCATCCAGAATCACAGGAAGGCTGGCTGAGTGGAAACTCTACAACTAGAAGGAAAGAGAAAAGCACACTGAGACTCAGAGGAGGTGTGGGGAAGTAAAGTGCAGAGGTATGGAGACGCATGCGGAAAGGGCTGGCAACTGAGGACTCGGCGCACGTGGAAAGGGCTGGAAACAGGACACGGTTGTCTTTTTCAATTGGGAGGGAGTCTCAAGCTCCTGACTGCTCTGAACTCCAGTTCCCGGCGAGTCTCTGGGGACCCAGACTCATACAGGAGAAACTGGACTGTCTGGCATCGGTCGGAACTTGAGGGCGGCTTTCTCTCAGAGGTACTTGCAGCAATTACCAGGACACTGAGAAGCCGGGCCTCTTAGGGTAGGGCTGAGGCGCAGCCATAGCTGCTTGCTTCGCCCTGTTGATCCTCAGAGACCCTGCCCCACCCAAGCTGTGTGCAGCAGCTTTTGCATATGAAAGGCCTGGCCCTTTGCAATCTGAAAATTACCTAACTAACTGCAGCTGGGTCAGAGAAACCCAGAACTTCCAAAAGAAGGCCCAAGGCCCCACAGCAGCTTGCATTGCTTCACAGCTGGGCTCCTGCTGGGTAGCCTCAGGCAGAGGCTAAATTAGCACCTCCTTAGAGATCCAAGAGCCAGTGTACCCAGTGGTCAGAGTGGGACCATCCAGATTACAACTCCTCAGACCCATAAGGAACACACTCAGGGGGCAGACTCAGTGAGCACCAAAGCCCCACTGAAGCAAGTCTTGCCCCAGAAGGGTGTCTCCAGCACAGAAGTTCTTCCACTGCAGACACAGCTGATTCTCACAGCCAATTGGCCTGGAGGTCAATTCCTCCCAGTGATACCTACAACAATCAAGGCTTAATTACAACAAGACTGCACAAAGCCCACAAAGGGGTGCACCAAGAGTGTCTACCTCAGGTAATTGGGGAGGCTGAGCCACTGGGCCCTATAGGACACCTAGCACACAAAGCCACTCTATCAACACAGGGAAGCAGCCAAAATGCGGAGACAAAGAAACAGGTCACAAATGACAGAAATGGAGGAAAGCAAACTACTGGATATAGAGTTCAAAACCACACTTTTAAGGTTTTTCAAGAATTCTCTAGAAACCGCTGATAAACAGTGAGACTCTCAAGAAATCTAGTGAGACCCTCGAGGTTATGAAAAAGGACCAACTAGAAATTAAGCATACACTGACTGAAATAATATTATACAGAGTTCCAACAGCAGACTAGAAGATCACAAGAATCAAGTCAAAGATTTGAAATACGAAGAAGCAAAAAACACCCAACCGGAAAAACAAAAAGAATAAAGAATCCAAAAATATGAAGATAGTGTAAGGAGCCTCTGGGACAACTTCAAATGTACCAACATCCGAATTATGGGGTGCCAGAAGAAGAGAGAGAGCAAGATATTGAAAACCTATTTGTAGAAATAATGACAGAAAACTTCCCCTACCTGGTGAAAGAAATAGACTTACAAGTCTAGGAAGTGCAGAGATTTTTTAGAGAGGAAGGGAGAGGGAGAGAGTTAGAAACATCGATGAGAGAGAAACATCCATCAGCTGCCTCTTGCACGCCCCCTATTGGGGATGTGCCCACAACCCAGGTATATGCCCTTGACCGGAATCGAACCCAGGACCCTTCAGTCTGCAGGCTGACGCTCTATCCGCTGAGCCACACTGGTTAGGGCTGGCCAAAGGGTTTAAAAGCAAGTCTCCTGGGAAAGCTTTCACTTTCAATGAGGCAGGTGTATCTAGCTCCACCCCTCCCCCTTTTCCTTCTCTGAACATAAATGTGATGTTCTGAAGATGCAGCAGCCATCCTTTATCTAGTAGATAACTAGTTATCCTGCTAAGGATAGAGCCTGAGTCTTCAAAGACACTGGTAAACCTCCACACAAGCCCTGACCTAGAGACTACTTGTGATGTGAGATAATTAGCTACCATTATACTTAAGTCACTGCTAGACAGGTTTCTTGTAGCTGGAAGTATTTTTAATAGGTATGCATGGTGTGAGCCCAATATTCTGGAAACAATGAGCAAAAC